TTCTCTGGTGCATTAGCAAGGAGTGGGATAGAAAGTGGAGCATCCGGGACTCAAACTAGCACCCATATGGGATGTCAGCACTGCAGGTGTTGGCCTTACAAGCTACGCCTCAGTGCTAGTCCCTAAGGCTGATTTCTTAATCACCTTAGAGCAGGTAGTGAAGTTAGAGACCTAAATTGGAATTTTACTCTTTTTTTGTTTTGTTTTGTTTTGTTTTGTTTTTTTATTTGACAGGTAGAGTTATAGACACAGAGAGAGTGACAGGGAGAAAGGTCTTCCTTCCATTAGTTCACTCCCCAAATAGTCACCATGGCCAGCGCTGCACTGATCTGAAGCCAGGAGCCAGGTGCTTCCTCCTGGTCTCCCATGTACATACAGGGGCCCAAGCTCTTGGGCCATCCTCCACTGCCTTCCCAGGCCAAAGCAGAGAGCTGGACTGGAAGAGGAGCAACCGGAACTAGAACCAGTGCCCATATGGGATGCCGGCGCCGCAGGTGTAGGATTAACCAAGTGAGCCACAGAGCCGGTCCCTGGAATTTTAATCTTTTATTCTTAAATTGTTTAATGGTTAATCTGATTAGGTCTTATTTTCTTCAATAAGATTAGGACCTAATAAATCAAAGTACTAATGAAAAGATAAAATGAGTTACCATATGAAAATGTCTGGTCTAAAATCCTGAAATATACTAACTTTTATATTTATTCAATATTTATTCTTAAGAGATTTTTACCTACTGCTACAGTTTTAATTGTGCTCTAAGGGTATAACTTAAAAATTAAAACTTTGTTTCTAGAATGCTGAAACCACATTTCCACCATGACATCCTGCTGTTACCTTGAAGTCAGGGTATCTTAAAGCCAGCTGTCCTTCTAATCGCTCCACTCCTATGAACGAGGCCATCAATTCTCATTTTTAAAATCTTATACTCATCTTTAATGGTGCTTCCATATTCCTGGATTCTATAACTGGTTTCATTAACTTGCTGACCCTCCAAAATGTTTTTCTCTTTATAACTTCCCCACTGCTACGATCTTAGTTTATCACAGTTATCATCTCCTCAATCTGGTTCCCCACTTTCTCTTTCACAGCATCCTTTTATGAAAGCTCTGTCCCAGAGAAATCAGTGTATTTACTATTTAAAGCATCCTGGGTGTGTTTTCTTGCTCCACATGATTTTGTAGGGGTATGCAAGAAAGGAAATGGTTGTAAAAAATGTTTTAGAGATGCTAGGCTAAATAATTAAATGTCTTCCTTTACTACAGGACTTGAAAGAACTGTAAAAATACTATACTGCTAGTTTCTCTGTCATCATCTTTCCTATTCTGACATGAAGGGACTCCTTTCTCATCTCCCTGCAGTGTCCCAATTCCAGTCATCACTCACTTTCTTACTGAATAGGTCTTCCAGTTTCAACCAGATTCATTTTTTCACCCTTGCCCCTTAATTCTCAATCTCTCCAGAGAAATACCCTTTTTAAATTTCAGGACTCGGCTGGTGCCGCGGCTCACTAGGCTAATCCTCCACCTGCGGCGCCGGCACCCCGGGTTCTAGTCCTGGTTGGGGCGCCGGATTCTGTCCCGTTTGCCCCTCTTCCAGTCCAGGTCTCTGCTGTGGCCCGGGAAGGCAGTGGAGGATGGCCCAGGTGCTTGGGCCCTGCACCCGCATGGGAGACCAGGAGGAGGTGCCTGGCTCTTGGCTTCGGATTGGCCATTTTGGGGGTGAACCAGCGGAAGGAAGACCTTTCTGTCTCTCTCTCACTAACTCTGCCTGTCAAAAAAAAATATTTTTTTCAGGACTCTACTTTTAAAATGATAGCCAAACCAGGTGAACTAAGTAATAAACTGGGAATACATACAGGTAGGCAGGTAGTAGTATGTTGGGGCATGCAAATTTATAGGAAAAAGTGTGGTACATTTTCCTGAAGAATGAGTTTTACTTCAAGTGTTTACTTGTATAATTCATGATAAAGTAAAAAAATGTAGAATGTAGACATTTTAACAGAAAAATATGATACTTTCAGGGAATTTCTAGTTTGCTTTTGACTTTCCTTCAGACCACAACCCGGAGCCGATTAGTAAACATTAAGATTCCTCTATCTAAAAGGAACCAAACGAAAAGTACAGAATGTGCTAACACAAGGCCATGGAGAACAAAGGTAAAGAACTTATCTCTATGAGCATGTTTCCTCTGTGCCACGTGTTATATTTAGATGCTTTATGTATCTTTTTTAATGCTTATAATGATACTACAAAAGTATTTCATTATTTTTATCAAAAAGAAACCACAGAAAAGTTAACCAGTCCTAAGCTGCAAAACTTACAGTAATTAAGATGCTTACTATATAATGTTAGACTGATAAAGAACACATTTATTATTTAAATATTATGACTGATTCCCATGAGAAAAAATAACAGGATAACTAGCAATTATTCTTTTAGAATAATTTTTCAGCAACATGACTCTTTCAGTTTTAATGTAGATACAGAAATTAAAAGGTTATTTTAATAGCACTAACAAACTCCAGACACTCAGAGTGTTTTTGGGGTGACATTTAAGCTTCAGTTAATGAAAATTATGGGGAAAATTTAGGCTTTCAATATTTATAATTCTTGTTTATTACTTATTCACTAGCACATTTTCTCCTTACTATCATCTAAAAGCAAAGCCTATTATCAACTATGAGTTTACCCAGTTAAACTCATGTGTTACATGAATAATATTAAAAATAATTTTTCACGAAATTCAGAAAGTAAACTTAATGATGTAAAAACTATTTTGAAGTGGAGAGAATGAACTAATGAATCTAAGCTTGAGGCTTAATTTTTTTTTTTCACAGAGCATGTTTGGGCAAATCTGCAACTTGAGACTTTATATACTAAAATAAACTAGAAGGCTCTTATTTTAAGAAAAACTAATATATAATAAACAGAGTTACCATATCAGCTTAATAGGGATTGTTTAAACGTACTGTAGAATCTCTTAAAATAAGGAGCTTTACTAGTGGATATTAAATTACACAATTTAGAAACAAACAATTAGGTTTATATACATCCTTTCAGAAATATATTCATTAGAGAAATCCCTAAATATTAAAAAAAAAGATGTGCCAAGGAAGATTACTTGAAATGAATAAATTAAAAATACTAACTTTATTAAAAAGTATCTGTCAGAAAGACAAATACTGCAGGTTCTCCCTTTTTAATGTGGGAGCTAAAATTTAAAAAACACAAATTGAGAGAAAAGAAAGAAGTGTGTCAGTATTGTGTGTTATCAGTTTAGTAAAACTTTTATAGCATTGTCAAACCAATGGTTAAGAACTATTACTATAGTTCTAATGATATGTAATTAGTATAAAATTAGCTATATATAGGTGAAATAGTCATTTTTTCCATTCAATTATTATTTATAGTCATTGTCTATATTCCTACTAAACCAGAGTCTTTTTGCTTTTTACTTGTCAAATTTCTTATTTGGTGAAGTATTAAGCCTTTTTACTATAATGTAATTTTTAAAAGTGTTATCTCAAAAACTAAAAAAAAAAAAAGTAAAGCAGAAGGAAATATGGTAGGAAGGAGGGGGAGGGATGAAGGGAATATCATTATATTCTTAGAATTGTATCTACAAATCACATTGAATCTGTTAAAAAACTAATTATAAATTTTAAAAATGTTTTTAAAAAGAAAAAGAAGTGTCTGTGAGCCTTTGTCACTATTCTTCAGAATTATGGTTCTGAAATAATGGAACACAAAATATTTTGTTTTGTATACATGCATTTGAGAAGACAGAATAGTGATAAAGCAGCATTAACTTATAATGTACATAGTTAATAAAGTAAATTTTAAAGTGCATATTTTCTTAATTTGCATAGTAATACTTAAAATTACAGATATTCATTTTATTTAATCTGCTAATTACACACAATAGAACCAAAATCTTTCTAAAATGACATAAGTGATTAATATTTTCATTATTCTTAAATACGTTAATTCTCTTCATTTATACATTTCCTAAACATTGGGCAAAGTTGTATGTATGGTGGCAAAATTCTCATAAATGGAAAGAATAGAAATCAAAGGTATAAGGACAAAACAACAAAAATCATTTTTAATGAACCTCGTCATATCTCCAAAGTACATTTTCCCTGAATCTTCCTGAGTAATTCAGGAAGATAAATAACAGAAAACATAAAACCAGATCAAAATGCCTTTTTCTTTTTTAGGTGACTAAAGATCCACCCAAACATTCTAATTCTGAAAAAACTATGTAACTACTTCTAGGGCATTTCTAAGTTACCATGGTTAGTTGAACTAAAAAGAAAAAATAAAAGTCACAAAACAGGCAGAGTCTTTTGAGAAAATTCAGTCTAAATTCAATTTACCTTAAGTTGATAATTACCAAGAGGTCTAAAAATGCATGTAAAAATGGTTCAATTTCTAATTTAGCTTCAATTCAACTGATAAAATAGAAAAATTCTACATAACTAGCAAATCATATCAGGCTTTAAAAAAATTGTTAAACTATGTAAGAACATACATTTGTAAATATCCTGATTAATGAAATAAGAAATATTTGATTTTTAAAGAAGCATACTTACAAAATTCTTGGTTTCCATACTGTTATTTTTTTAAAAGATATTTTACTTAGATTTCGCACTAGGAAGTAGAGATCTAGTCTGAATTCACAAAGAAGAAATGCAATCTGGCCTTTACATTTATATTTAACAACTGAATTTTAAACAGCTCTCTTTGCCATGAATATTTTTCAAAAGTATAAAACTAATTTAAAAGATTCATATATGCAAATAAATGTGTAAAGTAAAAGAACACAAGTTTAAAAATGAAATAAATATGCCTTAATGACAGTTTCTTAATGGCTTCCCTGAAAGCTAAGTGTCAAATTCTGTCAGGCTGCGTTTCTATTTTTTAATAAAGCTCTAAGTAGACCTCCTTCTAGCTCCGAGATCTATGTAACACACAAATATCCTACTTACGATACTCACAGGCTTTAATTTTTCTTCCACGTAGGTCAATACTACGGTCTTTTCCCTGAAAACTTGAAAGGCTTCTTATTCACTGGTCATGTTGCTATCAGACTTGACACATCAGTAATGATCCACCCTTTAATCATCTTCAGCCAGCTCCTCACACTGCTCAGAACTTACTGTGCATTACAGGTGATACTTCTTACAGCAGATGTCGGTTGTGGTCCCAAAGCACAAGCGCTGCTCCCACAGGGACAAGGAACTCCTAACAACAGTTTCACCTGCTTCTTTTTGTAGGCAGAGAAGCAATGTGGTATTTGTTTTGAACAACTAATGCTTTCAAGACGACTCTACACCTGAATTTTCATTAGATTGCTTGACATAAGCCTATTCTTTCATAACACTGCAGCAAATATAGATTGCATGATTCCCTTAGGGGAAAAAAAAGTCTTTTTTATAATTTTTTCTCTCTGGCGCAGTTTAGTTTACCTTTCTGTTACAGCAAATTGCTAGAAGAACTGTTTCTTAGGTTTCTAATGGCGCAGCATTAACAGAGTGAATGATTCACGGATGTTCTTCCTAACATTCAAGAGTAACACGGAAGGCTAGCAGTGCAGCCCAGGTCCAGAGCTGATGAATGGTGCAGTGCTGCTGTTGTCATAGCAACCAACAGGAAAAAAAAAAAAGCAGCACCATATAAGGAGCTGTGACATGGATTCTGGGACCAATTTATACTAAAAAGCTGTAAGCTCCTCATGCCTTAAAGCTATAAATTCCTCTCTTACTGATTCCTCCTCAGGTTTTACTCTTCTGAATTCCCAATACAGAACTATGCAAATATACATTGAAAATACAGTAAGTAGACAAAAACAAAAAACTGCATACTGAGGTAATAAAATAATACTTCAGCAAGCCAATAATGTCTATAATACCTTTATAATTTACTGAGTTAAATGTTAAAATTAGACAATAATATTTTGTTGCAGCATAAGGAACTGTCTAGAACTTTAGAGAAAATTTTTTAAAAACTTAGAAATATTAGAAAGCTAAGTAAACATTTTTTATTGAGGTGGTATATATCAGATACACCAAAACTGCAGGACCATCGGCTAACTGAATAACAAAGTAGTAATGGTAACAACTTCAAAGAGAGGAACACTGTCTCCTGTGGTCCTTCTAGATTCGAAAAGATTCACAACACACTAACTTTACTGAAAGTGCACAGAGCCTTTATTTATAATCAAGGAAATTTCCAAATCAAATATTAGTGGATTAGGGTCACTATTCTATCCCACGCTTCTGGAGGCCCCTCCTTCTACTGGGCCTGCAGAACCTTTCTCTTGTCACAGTTTTCTGCACACCCCCAATACTGCTCCCAGGAATCCAGAAAGGTTCCTTCTCTTCCTGTGGGTAGTAGGATAGCTTTCAAAAGGAATCACGGGAAGAGTAGGCAGGCAAAATGTCAATGTACAGATTGTCATCATGTTGCTCCTCTGACGTGTTCTGCACATGGCCCTGACTTGACTTGTATAGAAAAAAACTTTTCACTAGAATCCTGGGACATGGTCCCCTGGCACTATATTCATATATTTCATCTATTTAAACAAGGCAATTCTGTAGAAAATTATATCAATCTGTATTTTCTATTCTACCAGCACTTACATAATGAAATATTCCGATATAACACAAAGGAAACTAGGTAAATCTATTTATTAAAATTTTCATTACAATAATTGTGATATCATTATGTATTTGTGGATCATAGATTTATGATGCATTAATCTCTAAAAACAATTATGACCTCTATAAAATGGCACTAAAAAGGACAGAATTGTAGTAGAAAATACAGGTAATCTGACTAGCCTTCTCACTGGAATTATAACAGTAGCTTAGCCATCCACCAGGGTAAGTCACTTAAATCACTCTAACCCTCAGATTCACCATCAGTAAACTATGGGTAACAACCCATTTTCTTTTCTCTCTAAAGCTATTATGGGACTAGAATTAAATAATATAAACCAAAAGTTTGAAATTCTAAGCATCCATACTTTATTATCTTGAAAAACCTAATTAAAGCAGAATAGCAAAGCCAATAAGGAGAAATGGATCTCAGCTGAATTCAACAGATACACAAAATGGCCTGAAATATGTTTCCAGGCTGTTTTTACATCTGATGAAATATTTGGTCTCATCATATTGTACATACTTGTCACAAGAAATTATTTCTTTGATAATGATAGCAAACAAAGGTACACGGACTAGTGTTAAAGGATTCTAATTATGTAAATGTAATTTTATTGCCCCAATATGACTTATGTAGAAGGGTACATAGTAAAGAACATGTAAAATTATAAACTTGTTGATCTTTAATTATTTTTTCTTTCACCTAACTAGAAACTGTAGGGTAAACTTAAAATTTAAGCAATTATGTTTGATTTGAAAATTGCATGGACAGCATACCTCAGTGCTCTGTCTCCTTGACAGTCTAATCTCTTCCATCTAGTAAGCTTTTAAAATCATGTATTATCTTGCCCCAATGGTAAATTTTTTAAAAAAGATTTATTTATTTATTTGAAAGGTAGAATTACAGAGGCAGAGAGACAGACAGACAGACAGACAGACAAACATATCTTCTGTTCATTGGTTCACTCCCCAAATGGCCACTATGGCCAGGGCTGGGCCAGGCTGAAGCCAGGAGGATGGAACTCCATCAGAGTCTCCCACATGGGTGGCAGGTGTTCAAGTACTTGGGCCACTCTCGATTGCTTCCCCAGGTGCATTAGTAGGGAGCTAGATCAGAAGTGGAGCAGCCAGGACTCAAACCAGCACTCACAGGGGATAATGGAATGGCAGAGAGCAGCCTAACCTATAGTGCCACAACACTGGCCCTTCTTATGGTAATTTTAAAACAGATTTTGTTTTTTATTTATTTGAAAGGCTTAGTGACAGAGAGAGAGGAGGAGATACATCATCTTCCATACTCTGATTCACTCCCCAAAGGGCTTCAGCAGCCAGGTCTGGGCCAGGTCTAAGCCAAGAGTCAGGAACTCCATCCTGATTTCCCATGCTTGGGCCAACTTCTGCTGCCTTTTCAGGTGCATTAGCAAGAAGCTGGACCAGAAGCAGAGTAGCTAGAACTTGAACTAGCATTCAGATATGGGGTGCTGATATAGCAAGCAGTAGTTTAACCCACTGTACCACAACAATGGACTCCCTAGTAGTTATTTTTGAAGAAATCCTCTTTAGTTCTGACTTTTTAGAGGATGGCCCATAGTCCTTGGGCCCCTGCACCCATGTGGGAGACCTGGAGGAAGCTCTTGGGTCCTGGCTTCAGATCGGCATGGCTCCGGCCATTGCGACCAACTTGGGGGTGAACCAGTGGATAGAAGACCTCTCTCTCTCTCTCTCTCTCTGCCTCTCCTTCTCTCTGTGTAACTCTGAATTTCAAATAAGTAAATAATCTAAAAAATAAACTTGGATAACAAGTCATTTTTCTACTGCCTTTCATTTTAATGTTGCTCATGCTCTAAAGAAACTAGCATGAGGACATGGTTAAGATAATTTAAAACACAAAATACACAGATTTTGTTTTGTTTAAAAAACTGGATTTAAAGGTAAGCAAAGACAGAGAAGAGAGGCTTAATGAGCTAAGCTATTCCTCTGGCTACTAATTTTTTAACTGTTACAATTTTTTTGAAAGATCCATTTATTCATCTGAAAGTCAGAGCTACCCAGGAAGAGAAGGAGAGGCAGAGAGAGAGAGAGAGAGAGAGAGAATCCTTCCCAGATGGCTACAATGGCTGGAGCTGCGCTGATCCAAAGCCAGGAGCCAGGAGCCTCCCCCGGGTTTCCCACATGGGCACAAGGGCCCAAGGACTAAGGGCTGTCTTCCACTGCTTTCCCAGGCCACAGCAGAGAGCTCGATGGGAAGTGGAGCAGCAGGGACCCAAACCGGCACCCACATGGGATGCCAGCATTGCAGGCGGTGGTCTCACCAGCTATGCCACAGCGCCAGCCCCCTGTCTTGCAATTAATTTAAAAGCAAATAATTCTAAAATTTACTCAAGGTTTTCTTTCTTTTTTTTTTTTTAATTTTTACTCTTTTCCTAGTCTTCTCCCTTTATAAGCTTTCTCTAAAGAGGGATCATCAGTGCTAAACCCTACAGTGGCAGGACAGTACTTATCGAGAGATAAATCTATGAATTCTCTATTCTCATTGAAGAAACTTATAATAAAAATTCAAGTTTTGACCACATTTCTATGTGAGGTTGTGCCTCTCCTATGAATGGCTACCACTCCAGAACAGTGTTTCAATCTGCAACAGAAAATGATGACAGAGAAGAGAAAGAAATACATTCTTTAAAATTACATATATGTTAGTCAACTACTTCATCATCTGATGATCAGTAGAAGAGTAGGAGAGTTACAACTGTGAAGGGTGAACCAGCAGGACTGGGCATACTGAGAAACAGTATTTCTGTCTAATGAACGCCATGAATTTAAGAGATTTTTGAGTGTAATTTTCATTATATTCAGTTTCACTTGATATGTTGACCCACTACCTAAACCCTACATAAAATTTTTCCAAAAATGTGATGCTACCTCTAAATTATAATTACAACATTTGAAAAAGATCATTAGCTGGCAGGTGGCTCTTCCAGAATGCTTTTAGTGTAAATAGAGCATAAAAGGGCATATGTGCTGTAAGATATACACATATCAAATCTCATTCTTCTCACTTTACATCATTACTATGGATTTATAACATTCACTACAAGATACAGACGTATATAGAACTTTTTTTTAAAAAGTAATCACTTTCAGAAATCAGAAACATAGACTTTAACCAGAAATGGGGAAAATATGGATGTTCAACCAAATCTGGTATAACTTCAAACACTGATCATTATGCTGTCTAAGCAAAATTATCAAAACAGATCATGAATATTGCATAGACACTTCCAAAATGGTCAACTTTTTTTCTGAAATCCAACCAATAACATCAAAGAATGACTGACATGGTAGGGATTGTGTTTTTATAGTAAAGAAAAGTCAACTGAAATGAAAATGACCTTTGAAACACTCTGCCCTCTAGTGTTTGAAATCCTTACTAGAAAGCAAGTACTTTGTCATACCACGTGTTTATTACTGTTAGGCACCGAATACATCAATTTGAGTGCATAATTTTGTATAATAAGAAAAATGCATGTTTTAGTAGAAAACTTATATTATTAGAATGTGAATTTACATTCTATGCTAAGCTTTACATTATCCCATTATATAATTTTCTTCCTCTTTGGAGAGGCACTTAGGATTACTTTTGAATTGTGGATATTTATTTGCCTTTTGTGATGCTTTGGGACTAAAAGTATTCCTATGGCCAACAGTATTTAGGCCTTACATTTTTAAACTGCTCCTATTCCTCAGGAGGAGGGCAGATAAGCAAATAGGGGAGGTCATTGTCAATTAAGCATAACAATAGACTTCCTAAGAACTAAGACATAAAATCATGCTGAGTTTTCTGAGGAAGATTAGAGGAAGTATGGACAATGAAGAATTTTCTTTATAACCCACATAGTATTTTCCCTGTTCTAAAGTGATATCCAACTCCTGGAACCATCACACAGCAACTAGATATTTTATAGATATATTTTTAAAGTATTATCTATCACTGTATTAATGAATTAAAACAATGATATATAACTAGTAAATAGTTTCAAGTGAAAATGAGTTGATCACAGTAGAGTAATAAAATTTCAAGCAAAGCAAAATAAGGTAGTTTACCTATATTACAGGCAAATGATTACTATCTTATAGGCCTTTTTAAATAGTGAAAATTACATCCAGGTAAAGCACTGAATATTATGAAGTATAACAGTGATAAGGATAATGTTATTCAAAAAATAAGTCATTGTCAAATCAGACTTAAATGTTTGTAACAGTAACTGCTAGGAACAGAAACTCTCTACACACGACTTTACTCCTCTCAGCCAACATGGTATCACCTTCACTTTATATGTAAGGAAAGAGAAGCTCAGAAGCCCAGATAGAATGCTTACAAAGGAATGAGGATCGGATTTTAACCTGGTTCTTTGTCCAACTGTACTCTTAACCAGTACAGCCCTACTGATTCTTTTGATCCTGGAGTTCTCAGCCTTAATTCTATCACATTATTCAAGAAATTCATTGAAAGCTAACATTACTTTTTATATGTCCTCCTTGGTAGACATATTTCTTGGTGCTGACTACTTACCCCAGTCCATGAACTTTGCCTGTTGCCCACCCCTAGGTTCCCATAGATTTACAGGTTCCAAACACTTCCAGTGACACTCAACAATTACCTACTGTTAATACACCTTAATGTTCAGGATTGCATTTTGCTAACTTGCCTTCACCTCAGGTCCTAGGTGCTCCTCTTTTGACCCTTCATTGTCCATGGCACATAAAGGAATGCTAGACAAAGTCAATTCTAGGCAAGGTTTTCGGCAGGAACATCTCTTTAAAAATGCATAGAAAAGGGGGCTGGCACTGTGGCGCAGAGGTTAATACCCTGGCTTGAAGCGCTGGCATCCCATATGGGGACCAGTTCATGATCCGGCTGCTCCACTTCCCATCTAGCTCTCTTCTCTGGCCTGGGAAAGAAGTAGAAGATGGCCCAAGTCCTTGGGCCCCTGCATCCTCGTGGGAGACCTTGGAAGAGGCTCCTGGCTCCTGATCGCTGCAGCTCCAGCTGTTGTGGCCAACTGGGGAGTGAACCATTGGATGGAAGACCCTCCCCCCACCCCGCCTCTCCTCTATGTGTAACTCTTTCAAATAAATAAATAAATCTTTAAAAAAAATACATAGAAAAGGAGCTATGAGCCAGTGGTTGAGTAATTTAAAAAAAAATATGGTTTTAAGGTACTGGTTAAAAATAGAAAGTAATTTATACAATCATGAACATACGGAAGCACCTACAGAAAGAAATATAGTCAAACCGAGAATATTTTGATGAAGGCAGATGTTGTCCAAATAAATAAATATAAAAAGAGAGGACACAGCCGGCGCCATGGCTCAATAGGCTAATCCTTCGCCTTGTGGCGCCAGCACAACAGGTTCTAGTCCCGGTCGGGGCGCCAGATTCTGTCCAGGTTGCCCCTCTTCCAGGCCAGCTCTCTGCTATGGCCTGGGAGTGCAGTGGAGGATGGCCCAAGTCCTTGGGCCCTGCACCCCCATGGGAGACCAGGATAAGTACCTGGCTCCTGGCTTCGGATCAGCGCAATGCGCTGGCTGCAGTGCGCCGGCCGTGGCGGCCATTGGAGGGTGAACCAACGGCAAAAGGAAGACCTTTGTCTCTGTCTCTCTCTCTCACTGTCCACTCTGCCTTTCAAAAAAATTATAATAATAAAAAAAGAAAAAAAATAAAAAAGAGAGGACACAACGATGAAAAGTAGAAAATCCCCTAATTATATTGTCGAGAAGAATAAAGTCTCAGCTGAGAAAAGTTATGCTTTTTAAGACAGTAAAGAGAATTGAAGCCATTTTGTTGGAATAACATCTGACTCCAAAATCTGCCATGTTTTGCAACAGCCTGCTTCAAGGGAGAAGCAGAAATTACTTGATCGTTGTTATGAAACTTAATGGCCCAAAGTGATGGTACTCAGAAATGATTCCAATATGAAGGCCTCTCCCCTCCAGGATTAAGGCCCTTATCAAAGAGGCTTCATTCAGTGTTCAGCTCTCTTGCCCTTCTAGTTTCTGCCATGAGAGAACAGTGTTTCCTTCTTTTTTTTTTTTTTTAATTTTATTTACTTCATTTTATTTGAAAGGCAGAGAAACTGAGAGACAGAGATTTTCCATCTATTGGCTCATCACCTAATGCCTAAAACACCCAGGCTAGGACCAGGCCAAAGACAGCAGCCTGGAACTCCATTTGGGTCCTCCACATATATGACAGGGACCCAAGCACTTGAGCCATCATCTGCTGCCTCCCCATAGCAAGAAGATGGATTGGAAGCAGAGGAGCCAGATTGCAAACCAGCACTCCTGTATGGGATGTGGGTGTCCCAAGCAGCAGCTTAACCTGCTGTACCACAATACCCCCACCATAATGTTTTCAAGGTTCATCCACGTTGTATTATGAACAGGTGAATCATTTATTTTTTATTTTCAACTAAGATGGATATACATTTTATTTACCCATTTATCAGTTCATGAACATTTGGATTGTTTTCACTTTTCATTATTATGAATAAGGCTGCTATGAAAAATGTGAACACAAGTTGGTATGAGTGCACATGTTTTCATTTCTATTGTGTTGCTTCATCTATTTTGATGCCATGTTGTTTCATGCATAAAAGACCAATACTTATGTATTTCATGAATTATATCTGTATAAAACATCAAATAATACTTTTTGCTCCAACTGTTATTTTCTTCACTTAATTTTGACATTATTGCAAATAATGATTTTTGTTAGCACTTTATTTTATTCACAAATTTTGTCTTGTTATTTTAGGAGTACCTGTTATAAATAAATAATATATCAATGAAAATACTTTTTACACATTCAGATACTTTACTTCCTTATTAGGGAAATTGACATCATTCATATTTCATGTGAAAGCTGTCTTATTTTAACATTTTATATGGTCCTTTTTTTTTTTTTTTTTTTTTTTTTTTTTGGAAAGGCAGAGTGGACAGTGAGAGAGAGAGAGAGACAGAGAGAAAGGTCTTCCCTTGCCATTGGTTCACCCTCCAATGGCCGCTGTAGCCGGCGCGCTGCAGCCGGCGCACGGCGCTGATCCGATGGCAGGAGCCAGGTACTTATCCTGGTCTCCCACGGGATGCAGGGCCCAAGTACTTGGGCCATCCTCCACTGCACTCCCGGGCCACAGCAGAGAGCTGGCCTGGAAGAGGGGCAACCTGGACAGAATCCGGCGCCTCGACCAGGACTAGAACCCGGTGTGCCGGCGCCGCAAGGCGGAGGATTAGCCTAGTGAGCCGCGGCGCCGGCTAAAATCTAGTTTTTAAAGCACTTTAACTACTATCCTGTTCTAGTTTTCTTTAACAATGCTAACTCATGATGTCTGAAATTATTTGTTCTGAATTAAGAAATAACCTCCTAACATTTTCTATTTTTTGGTTTGGAAGATGAAGAAATAATCTTTTCAGGGCCAAAAACAAAAGAAAGAGATCCCCTTTCTCCACTCCTACCACTGAATTATCTTTGGAGTTTACAAGTCGAATTTGTAACCCATAAGCCACAGAACCTGAATTAAAACTAGGTAGAAACTAAATTAGAAACAGCAACTAAATGAGGTCCAGACCTAATAGTTTAATTAGAACTATTATTCCAAAGAGCTTAAATATCTTCATATGTATTTCCTCAATTAATTTTACAAAAATAAGTAGCATCTTAACAGTTAGCAATGATGGACCTTAGACTATCACATATGTCTACTATTTCTTAATCTGATATAATACACCATAATACATTTTGAATTCCAATGTTTTCCTAAAATTAAGATATTTACTCATATGCTTACAGTATTATAAGCACAGTGAAGTAAATCAGACTATAGACTAAAATTTGCTGTAGTCCATTTATATCTTCAAATTAGCATTTCAATAATTTTCTGTGTCCATATGATCCAACATAAAAATGAGAAGTAACATTTAGTCGATGTTTATTATATGCTAGGTCATATGTATAATATTACTTTTTACATCAATCCTTAATTTTTTCCTAATAAAATTGTGATAGTGACGTCTTCAATTCCAGTACATTTCAAAAAATTGTAGGGTAATCATTCTTATATATATAATGAGTACACTAAAATATATCAACTATGTAGAATACTACTATGCAATGGTACTTTTTAATATCAAAAGAACTTTACAATGATTTTTCCAGGATGTCCCTGGAACAAGTAAACATTTCTATTTCATCCATGACAAAAATAGTATTTGGGCTATGTCTAGCATCTAAGATAGTTAGGCTAAGCATGATCAGATCAGTTGTTATGACTTATCTACTATCCAACTCGGTTTGCCACAAGGTCATTCCAATCTATTGGCAGCAAGTACTTTTAAAATCAAGCCAAAAAGTTTTTTTCCCCATAGATTAGATAATAACCCATTTGATGTCAGTAACTGAAGATTACTCCTCAGGAAAGTAGAAGAACTTATTGTAACTAAGTTACTTTTACTTGAAGGTCACTTTCCGAAAGCTCAGAACACCTATTTGGCATAGCTAATAGAAACTCAATTGTCTAGATCTCTTTAAAAACTACAATAATAACTGTGGCTAATACTCTATGTCAGACACTGTTATGTGCTTCACATGTACTAACCCATCAAATTATTTTCGTAGTCCTATAAAGTAAATACTATTATCGCTGTTTGAGAAATAAGGAAACTGAAGTACAGAGACTTTAAGCATATTTAAACATTGTCAGAGAGTTAGAAACTGGCAGTTAGTATCCATTTTGTCGTATCATCTCATGAAATTTTAGATTTTATAAAAGGTAAAATTACAAACATTATTGAAGAATATAAAACAAAACCTATGGCACCCCTCTTCTACTTCTGAGAAAGAGCTATTACATTCCTAACGTCCAACAAATGAATGCATGTGTGTCTATGCATGTATTATTTAGGAAAACATGGATTTTTACCATTAATAACTATGTTTACATTATTGCTGTGTAGACAATACTACATTTACTTACACATACACACATACACACTTTCAAACTTGTTCAAATTTATTAGTAAGCAAAGTAAAATTGTTGTGCCAAGCTGTGTACAGTTATGATTTTAATACAGCTTGTCAAATTGTATTAAAAATGGTTGCATCAATTTGCACCCTTACTAAACACGTAAATACTAAAAATTTAAATTTTATTAAACAACATATACACCAGGTAAATAGTGTAAATTCAGTTACGTGTTGAATGAATTCTTGACATTTCTTAATTATCCATATTTAACAAAGGAAATATGCTCAGGGTCTTTATGATACTGTGAAAAAAAATCATGGGAAGGGTACAAAAAGAGTATATGGAAGATAACTGGGGTCAACAATGTGTCTCGGTATTTTCTTCCACATCTCCAGTAAGCAGCCTTGAATCCTGTCTAACCTCTAGATCTTCTAGTTTCTCTTTATTTCTTATACCACTTGGCTGTATCTACTGCTACTTCGAACAACAAAAAATATAAATTGATATATCCAGATGCCATAGGTGAGGTTGTTTTTAACATTTATTTATTTATTTGAAGGGGATAATGACAGAGAGAGAGGAGGGTGTGAAGAGACCTCTCACATGTTGGTTCACTTTCCAATGGCTGCAAAGGCAGGGGCTCATCTACACTGAAGCTAAGAGCCTAGAACTCCATCTCATGTGGTTGGCAGGGGCCTAAGTATTTGGACCATCCTTTGCTGCTTTCCCAGGCACATTAGAAGGGAGCTGGATCAGAAGCAGAGCAGCTGGAACTTGAACCAATACTCTGATATGGGATGCCAGCATTGCAGGCATCAGTTTAGCTCAATGAGCCACAATGCCAGCCCTGGGCGAGGTGTTTAACTTCTTTAAACTCAAATTTTTCTCATTAATAAAATGAGACAAATTTGGAATTTAAGAGACTGAATATTAATATTGACTCTGCCTGCTTCTCAGCTGCATTACCTTTGTAAGACATTTTGCTTTCAATTCATTTATCTCTCTACAGCTTAATTTATTCATTTGTAAAATGGAGATATATGTGAAAAACACATGAGCAAATAAAGTATATGGCATAAAGTAGCCATTCAAATGAAAATTGTCATTATTATTACTATTAGTCATTAAAAGACACGACTTTGGGCAGGCCCTGTGATGCAGCAGGTTTAGCTGCCATTTGGGATGCTGGCATCCCATTTCAGAGTGCCAGCTGGAGTCTTGGCTACTCTGTGCTCCCAAACCAGCTTTCAATTTATACACTCAGAAGGCAGCAATGATAGCCCAAGAACTTGGGTTCTTGTCACACATGTGGGAGATCTGGATGAAGCTCCTGAATCCTGGTTTGGCCTGGCCTAGCCTTAGCTGCACTGGGCATTTTGGGAGTGAACCAACAGATGGGAAAATCTCTATATCTCCCTCTGGCTCCCTCTCTCTGTCCCTCTGCTTTATAAATACAAATAGTTATTTTTTAAAAGCATGATTTTAAAAACATTGAATATTTTAACATTCTAACTGGTGTCTAATGTTTTAAGTATGTTTCAAACTGTGTCATCATCATAAGAATAATACAACATATCAGTATTCATCTGACAGATGAGAAACAGAAGCCCACCATGATGAAGTGACTTGCTAGGAGCTGGGACACAAACAGTTTGACCACTGGGCCTGTGACTCTCTTAGTAATTACATTTACTGTATTATTTTTATACTAAATAAAGTGTATAAATGTTTAAAATTGATTAAGCTCCAAATTATGTGTTCCTATTCTTGAACAGACTTTTCATTATTCTCACTCCTTCAAAACTAAAGTCAAAATACTTGAAAATAGATCTATGTCTGCAAATGGGTTAAGGACAAAGTTAAATATACAAAATAGAAAACAAGGGTTATATACAAACAATAGGAAACGAAGACTCCTTATAAGACAAAAATGTAAGTACCCACCTTGTAAGAGGTGGAGACAATGACTAAATATCAGAAAAACATGCAAAGTTAATGGACACAGAATACCCTAGTTCTTTATAGTTCATTCCTTACTTGCCAATAATATCCAGTTAAAAGATACATCTGATCATATTCCTTGCCATTCCTTCTCTGCTTAAAATTCTACAGTCATAGTGGGCTCCTTACTATACCTCTACAAACTCTGGCTTCTACCTTTCTCTTCAATTCATTTTCTACCATCCTCCCCACTGACTTATTCTGCTTAAACCATACTTGTCTTGTTTCCATTCCTTGAACTGCCAAACTCTTTTTGTCCTAACTGTTCCCTTTGCCTTGAAGGCTCAGATCCCAGATTTTGTATAGCTGGCTCCTTTTTTCAGTCAGACCTCAACTCAAACATCTCCTCTGACTCTCCTTGAGCATTCCTCAGAAAGAAATTCTACCTGTCTCCCGGTCTCTATCTCATTCCTTATAATATTACTTTCATAGTACTTATCACAACCCAACATTTCTGTTTATTGGTTCTGAATTTATTGTCAGTTTTCCTCCTAACTGGAATATGAACACCTTGAAAACAGGGACCTTAATTGTCTTTCACCATTCTATCCATCCACAGCAGTGTCTGGCATACAGTGGGCCCTAGACAAATACGTGTGGAACGATCAGGTGAAAAGTACTAAAGAATAATGAGTAAACTACATTGATTGTACCAGAGACAGAGGACTAAACATTAGAAAGACAGACAGGATATAGAATAGGTTATTCTGATCCTAATTACTCAACTTGATGGATAATATAAGTAGAACTTTAAATAATGAAAGTGGATAAATCAGAAAGTGGAGCTCTTAAATCATTAAAATATTCTTTTTGGTAAATGATGTCAAGTAAGAAATATCCTCTGGTGGACATGGTCAGCAAGTCTCTCTCCATTCAACTTCCCTTTTATTCAATTCTAACAAAACATGATTAGGAAAGCAAGGATAACTGAATAATC